TAACAATGAAGTCAGAGTTGTAACAACTATTGGACACGTGTGAAATTCAATTGTCATTATGTCATTAGAGTTGAACATCGCCCAACTTTCTATCCCTTCAACTCTCGACACCGACTTCATTGCAGACCAGGCCATAGCCTACTATGCGGTAGTGTTTTGAACATTAAATCATAAAATTGAACATCTTCAAGTGAACATCTGAGAATGATAACATCAACAAATTACTTGCCACAACACTGTATGTAGTACGTATTACTGATGATAAGATGCACAGAACGACAGATGGTCCTTACGTGCGGTAGCCGTAACTCAGATATGTCGTTAAGTCGGGAACTACCTGTACTAACTTATCAGTACTGACTACTTGGAACACCTGTGTTCAGGATTCTAAGGCAAATTCCAGGCTCTGAGGAACTGCTGCTGCTGTCAGTGAACACCTGTCAATCATGGAAACCTTGGTGGCATAGTGGTTAAGAGTTCGGCTGCTAACCAAAAGGCTGGCAGTTCAAATCCACCAGCTGCTACTTGGAAACTCTACGGGGCAGTTCTACTCTGTCCTATAAAGTCACTATGAGCCAGAATCGACTGGATGGCAGCAGATTTTTTTTTTTTTTAATTGTGCTTTAAATGGAAGTTTACAGTTAAGTTAGTTCCTCATACAAAAATTTTATACGCACACTGCTATTTGACCCTAGTTGCTCTCCCCACACTGTGACAGCACACTCCTCCTTTCCACCCCAGATTTCCCGTGTCTGTTCAACCAGTTTCTGTCCCTTTCTGGCTTCTCATCTTGCCTCCGGACAGGAGCTGCTCATTTAGACTCATGTATCTTCACAAATATCATTTTATGTCTTATAGTCCAGTCTAATCTTTGAAGAGTTGGCTTTGGATGTTCTGCATCCTACTTTGCTGAGTGGTGTCTGGAGTCTTAAAAGCTAGCTAGCGGCCATCTAAGATGCATCAACTGATCCCAACCCACCTGGAATGAAGGAGAATGAAGAATACCAAAGTCACAAGGAAAGTATTAGCCTAAGAGATAGAAAGGGCCACATAAACCAGAGATTCTATCAGCCTGAGACCAGAAGAACTAGATGGTGCTCATCTACCTCCAATGACCGCCCTGACAGGGAACGCAACCAGAGTCCTTAATGGAGCATGAGAAAAGCTGGGTGCAGCCCTCAAATTCTAGTAAAAAGACCAGACTTAATGGTCTGACTGAGACTGGAGGAACCCCAGAAAGCATGGCCCCCAGACTCTCTGTCAACCCAGAACTAAAACCATTCCTAAGGCCAACTCTTCAGACAAAGATTAGACTGGATTATGGGACATAAAATGATATTCTTGAAGAGTGTGCTTCTTAGCTCAAGTAGATACATGAGTCTAAATGGGCAGCTTCTGTCCGGAGGTGAGCTGAGAAGGCAGAGAGGGTTAGGAGCTGGTTGAATGGACAAGGGAAATCGGGTGGAAAGAAGGAGTGTGCTGTCACATTATCGGGATGGCAACTAGGGTCACATAACAATGTGTGTACAAATTTTTGTATGAGAGACTAACTTGAATTGTAAACTTTCACCTAAAGTACAACAATTTAAAAAAAAGAGTTGGCTTCGGGAATGGTTTCAGTTTTGGGTTAACAGAGAGTCCGGGGGCTGTGTCTTCCGGGATCCCTCCAGTCTCAGTCAGACCATTAAGTTTGGACTTTTTACTTGAATTTGAGTTCTGCACCTCACTTTTCTCCTGCTCCGTCAGGGACTCTCTATTGTGTTCCCTGTCGGGGTGATCATTGGTGGTAGCTGGGCACCATCTAGTTCTACTGGTCTCAGGCTGATGGAGTCTCTGGTTTATGTGGCCCTTCTGTCTCTTGGGCTCATATTTTCCTTGTGTATTTAGTGTTTATCATTCTTCTTTGCTCCAGGTGGTTTGGGACCAGTTGATGCATCTTAGATGGCAACTCGCTAGCTTTTAAGACAGTTTGGTTTTTTTTTCATCATACAGGAGGAGGGAGGGGTCGTTTTTCTCCTTTGTTTTAGGCCAGTTGAGAAACCTGTGCTTTCTAAATCACCTTTCCTTCTACCAGCCGTCATCTCACACCTCACGTGCAACCTATTTTTGTACATGCATACTTTATTTTGTTTGCCCTGAGCTCTTAGGAACATTACCCTCTTAACTCCAAGCCTCTTGTTGGTTTATTTGGGGCAGAGTTAAGGTTCTAGCTTCTCTACTTGACTTTGTTATTTTTGTTGAAGACACTTTCAGATTTGAATCTTATTTGATTAATCTGCAGCAGGGTCACTAACTAGTTGTTTGGACTGGTGTACTCTTCTGTGACTTTCTATTAATCACTTGTTCTCAGCTAACATCTCAGTTTAAGGCTGGTGGTAACCATATGGCCTTAAATGGTGAATTTCACCTTAACAGGACCTTCAGCAGGGCATCTGGTGTATTCAGCAGGGAAGTTCCCATTTCTTTCTATTTCAAAGTCCGTAACCCAGCCCAGTTGCTGTAGAGTCGGCTTCTACTCATGGCAACCTCATGTGTCTCAGAGTAGAATTGTGCTTCATTGGGGTTTCACTGGTTCATTTTTCAGAAACAGGCCATCGGGCCTTTCTCCTGAGACACCTCTGAATGGACTCAAAACTCCAACCTTTAGTTAGCAGCTGAGCGCGTTAACCATTTGCACCACCTAGTGACTCCTCAAAGCCTGTATGCCCTTTGAACTTATGTATTACTTTCCTGTTTCCAATTTTAGCTCATTTATAGAGCAGAGGGTGTCAACACTCCTGAATACCGTGAATGATCAACCCACAAATTTTTACACCATCCCTCCTGTCTACTTAACCAGAGGTGTTTTGAATCTCATAAATGTGGGAATGGTTTTCCCATCATGACAGTTTACAGCACTAAGATCCCTAAAGTATACATTAAAGGTTCCCAGACATGGTTACACCCAAAGCCAGAGGTGGCATTGTTACTCAAAGAAGAAATCATAACAAGAGCAGAGGGGAATGACAAAGAGAAGTAGAGAATGGAAGGGAAGGACAAAAGACTGTCATGGTTAGAAGCTAGAGGTTCTAACAAGTAGTCCAGGATTGCCTTGGGCACCAATGTGCAAAGCATTAAACTTGGCTGTGCTGGGACTTAATCAATGGATTGATATTTTTAGAGCACCAAATGAGTTTTTAGTTATTCTGCTTTATTGTGTCATGTATTTAATGGGACAAAATAGTAAATCAGGAAGTCTTTGGCTTCAATATATTCCCAACATGGTGTGGCAGAGGGGAATGTATAATAATAAACTCTTTAATGAATATTAAAAAAAAAAAAAGAAAGTGCTGTGAAAGTTTAGAGAAAAGAGAGCCCTCCCCCATACCTCCACTCACCGCCCTACTGTCTAGTTAGGGCTAGGGATCAGGAAGTAGCTGAAGAAGGAAGTGGGGTATGAAGGGGTTGTGAAGAAGCGCAGAGATTTCTATTCCTTTCTCCTTCTTCCTCTTTTCTGATTCTTTGGGAGTTTGTGGGTTTGGGGTTGTGGTAAGGCCGAAAGCTGTGTTGTTCCTCTTCTCAGATGTGTAGGAGCATGTTTTCAGGGACTTGACGTTCCAGAACAACTGGTTCTGCTCCTCGGTCGTCTCCTGCCCCACTGCTTCTGCTCATAATTGCTTTGTAATGTGCTCACAGAGCAGAGTGGGATGTAAACACCCTTTCTAAGAGTGTGCCTCTCTGATAGGTGCCAAACCAAGACTCTGATGGCACAGAGAAAACCACATAGGAGTCTGGCAGAGTTGGCCCCTAGGGCAGGCAACGGATGGCTCCTTATTCCTGCAGGAGTCCTGATACTCCATTTTGAGTAACTGGAGAACAGTTACAACAGTGCTTATTAATTAACAGCCTGCAACCGGATCAGTGGAGGAACTTTTCAAATTAAAGGTGCTCATGTCTCACCTCTGGAGATTCTAGTGTTGGTGAGGAAAGGCCTTGCCATGAGTATTTTGAAAGCAGTGCTGGTGTGACTGTGAGCCGTGCTGCGTGGACCATCAGTAGCTTGTTGTTGTTAGGTGCTATCGAGTTGGTTCTGACTCATAGTGACCCCAAGTACAACAGAACAAGACACTGCCCTGTCCTGCACCATCCTCACAGTCATTGTTCTGCTTCAGCCCATTGTTGCAGCCACTGTGTCAATCCGTCTCGTTGAAAGTCTTCCTCTTTTTTCGCTGACCCTCTACTTTACCAAGCATAATATCTTTCTCCAGGGACTGGTCCCTCCTAATAACATGTCCCAAATATGTGAGACAAAGTCTCGCTATCCTTGCTTCCAATGAGCATTCTGGCTGCACTTCTTCCAAGACAGATTTGTTTGTTCTTCCGGCAGTCCATGGTCTATTCAGTTTTCTTCGGACAATGTTCCATTGCCATCCATAATGTTTTCACTGGCTAATTTTTTCAGAAGTAGACTGCCAGATCCTTCTTCCTACTCTGTCTTACTCTGGAAGCACTGCTAAAACCTGTCTACCATGGGTTACCCTGCTGGTATTTGAAATACCGGTAGCATAGCTTCCAGCATCACAGCCACATGCAAGCCACCACAGCATGACATACTGATAGATGTGTGGGGATCAGTAGCTAGGACTCTCGAATTTTCTTCTTCCGGGTGCCTAAGAGCTCAGAATTTGTTTCCCAGAATTCTTTGTCAAGAGCGGGCTATTCTACTCCCATACCTATTATTTAAATTTAAAGAAATACTTAAGCAGTGTCCTTAGCACTTTGGCAGCCCTGGTCTCGCAGTGGTTAAGAGCTCAGCTGCTAATCAAAACGTCGATAATTCAGATCCACCAGCCACTCCTTGGAAACCCTCTGAGATGGCTCTACTCTGTCCTGTAGGGTCGCTATGAGCAACAGGTTTAATTTGCTCAGCACTTTGACATGTAACACATTTCCACATGGCATTTATAATGTGATCTGTGTTAGTAAAGGATATAATTGACTCTCTCTGTTTTTTTTTTTAGCTCCGGATTCCCAAGCTTACTTGATAGGAGGGTTCATAGCCTTGACAGGTGTGGCTGTGTCTATCATGTGCATCTACAACTTTTTTAAGATTGACATTGTACTTTGGTATCGAGGTGCCTTCCGTTCTATTGGGAGCGTAGATGGTAAGTATGTGTGATCATTGTAAAATACCTCATAGTTGATGTTTGCTCATTCATATTCCCATTTAAATTACAATTGCCATAATTTACTCGCTTGATTTCATGTCATTGGCACGTTTACAGCAACTTCTTACACTTAGATAAAGTATTTATCCATGCTTTTCAGCACAGTTCTCCTTAATAAGACTTGCAAGGTGTTGTTAGCTGCCACTGAGTCACCTCTGACTCATGGCGATCTTCCCTGCAGCAGAAGGACACATCGTCGGGACTGCGTCTTCCTCAGGTTTCACCGTTGTGGCTGTTCTGTCAAAGCCGATCAAGCCAATCTCACTGAGGGTCTCCCTTACCCCCCAAACACGATGTCCTCCTCTAGCGATTGATCCCCCCGATGATGTGTCCAAAGCAATTGAGTTGGGCAATGTTCTGTTGTGGTCCCTGAAGTTTTCTTTGGCAGATTTCCAGAAGTAGATCACGAGGCTTTTCTTCCCAGTCTGTTTTAGTTGGAAAGCGCCTCTGAAACCTGTCCACCAAGGGTGACCTGCCTGGTATTTGAAATACCAGTAAGATAGCTTCCAGCATCATAGCAACCCACAAACGACCACAGCAGGACAAAACAGCACAGTGGGACAAACTGACAGCTGGGTGGTGGTGTAAGGTACTAGTGACCGAGTGAAACTTTGCTAAGCAGCAGGAGATCATCTTCTGGGTCCCACTGCAACCTTTTAGAAAGGTCCTGACCTCCACTGATGTTGGCAAAAGAAGAACAATTCTCCCGGAGCCAAGTACTCTCCACCCGTGATACATTTCAAAGCACTGGGTGCTTGGGCAGAACTGATGTTTTGGAGAGAGGTGAGCTGGCTGGGGCTGCAGCTCTTTCTAGGCATTGCACTTGATGTCTGACAAGGTGACCTTCTGAAACGTTCAAGCTTGGAGAGAGACCGACTGGAGTTTAAGTTTGGTTTCTTCACTTACTCTCTGTGTGCTTTTGGGAAGGTGTTTAATGTTCGTCTACTTCTTAGTTGTAATAAAAGGGATACAAATGATCAAAGCCTGCCTCACAGATTGCTGAGGGCAGTAAATAAACTAAACTGTGGGGAGACAGTGAGCAGGGCCCTGCGGTGCAGGGGGGGACCCTGTTGCTTTTCTGGATGTGAAAAGCGAGTTGTAGCTTGCTCTGTGGCACTCGTGTCCTGCTAGCACAGTTTGATACAGAAGTGTCTCAGAGTGGTCCCAGATGCTGTAACAAGCATTTAATGGTGGATTAACTCTGTAGATTTTTTTCTTTTCCTCTGAGAATGGATATAATGTATTCAGGCCTTAGAAATATAATAAATCTGCTTTAATTTCCCTAATTAGGTGGAAAAATTAATACAAGGCAATGAGAAGTCTGTGTCGTTGCTATGTGTTGTTGCTGCTGTCAGGTGCTGTTGAGCCAATGTCTGTTCATAGCGACCCCGTGTGACAGATTAGAACTGCCCTATAGGGTTTTCTAGGCTGTGATCTTTATGGAAGCAGATGGCCAGGGCTTTCTCCCGTGGAGACACTGGGTGGATTTGAACTGCCACCTTTCAGTTAGCGGCCAAACACTTAACTGTTGCTCCACCAGGTCTCCTTAACTGACATGTGCTGCCGTCAAGTCAATGGCGACTCATAGCAACGCTATAGGCAGAGTAGTACTGCCCCATAGGGTTTCCAAGGAGAGGCTGGTAGATTCAAACTGCTGACCTTTGGTGGCGGCTGTAGCTCTTAACCACTGTGCCACACACAAATTTATAACATTCAAGTCGAGAGACTTGCAACACTGACGGGGCAGGAACGTGGGGGGACTGTGTTTCCAAGCAAGTTTTACAAGTACTTCATGTGTAGAACAGCATTGTGGACACC